GAACAGGCTGTTTTGACTACTGTACTTGTGTAGTAAGGTTTTGAGAACAAGAAGTGATAAGACTCCTATTTTCTTCTTCTTTTTGGTTCTTCTTCTTAGTGCTGTGCTTATTCTGGGTCTCTTTTCTTTCCACAGAAAATCGGTGATTAGTTCTTCATCTCTTAAAAGAGATGCTGAGATCTAGATGGGAATTGCATTCATTATAGATCATTTGGGGTAGGAGTGCCATTTTCACAATGTTATCTTCCTAGCCATCAACATGGTGGGATCTTCCATTGATGTAGGCCTCATTTGTTTTCTTGTTTGTAGTGTCATGTTAGGCTGCTCATCACAAGATTAGCAGTTCAAAACCACCAGCAGCTCCACGGGAGAACAAGGCTTTCTCCTCCCATGCAGAGTTACAGTCTGGAACCCTACATGAGTAGGTCTACTCTGTCCTATAGGGTCACTGTGACTCAGAACTAACTTGATGGCAGTGAGTGTGGCTTTTGAATTTGGTAGTTGTTTAGTTTTCTTTGTACAGGTCTTTTGTTTCTTTGGTTAGGTTTATCCCTGTGTATTCATCTTTTGTGTGGCTGTTGTAACTGGTCTTATTTTCTGGGGTTCTTTGTAGCGTTCTCTTCATTAGTGTGCAGGCATCCAATTGAATTTGGTACCTTGCCACATGGTTAAATCTTTTTTCTTTTTGTTAAATCTTTTCATTAGTTCCAACAATTTTCTTGTTGAGTTTTGGGGGGTTTCTTTCTGTAGAATCATATGCTCTGCACCTAGTTTTATTTCTTCGTTGCCAGTTTGGCACTCTGATTTTCCCTTCTTTAATCCATCCTGCTATTCGAGAAGTGCACGTAATAACCAGAGTACTAGCTTCCACCTTGAGCTGCGACAGCCGAGGGACGACATCCCCGGTCCAAAACACTTTTGGAAGCCGCCACCCTCCAAACCCTGGGTTGCCTACCATTGGGTTTTATGTGAGAAATAAATTTCCATGTTGTGTTTTAAAATCCCTTGTCATTGAGTCATTCTGACTCATAGTGACTGAGATAGTTTATTGTGCCAGCCTGGCTGATAAACGCAGGTGGGATTGACTGAGGGGTGGAGAGATGGATGGCTTGGTGAGCCTTGCCTTTCTTGTCTCTCGCTCTGTGATCATCGGACCAGTGTGCGGCTGCCTTGCTTGTTCTGTGCTTCAATTTAAAGGCTACACAGCCTGTGGGATGCCTAGCCTGTGGACTGTGTTGCTGTAAGTTGAGGTCCCTTTAAGACTTCTCTGGAGCTGGGGACTGGCGATTGGTGACCTGCCTTGTGATTGGCTGCTGTGCTGACATAGCCTAGCTCTCTCTACAAATAGAGGAAGATCTGGCATCAGATAGAGACTTGAAGGACTGCTAGTCTCTCAACTTTCTCTCACGGACGTGAGTTGCACTAAGCCATTTATAGTGCTTCTAATTTAACTGTTTATTTCTTGTATTGTATATTTATCTGTATATGATTTAACATTTCATTTCTCGTTATATATCTAATTATCTTTATGATTTAACATTTCATTTCTCGTTATATATCTAATTATCTTTATAAATAAATATATTATCAGGAATTTGGTTTTATCTCTCTAGAGAACCCTGTCTAACACAGTGACCCTACAGGACAGAGTCAAACTGCCCCATGAGATTTTCCAAGCTGGCTTCTTCCTTTCTGTCTGGCAGCAGCCATCAGGTAAGCCAAGAAGGGTGCCTACAAGTACATCCAGGAGCTATGAAGGAAGAAGCCGTCTGATGTGGGGTGCTTTCTCCTGTAGGTCTGCTGTCAGCAGTACCACTGACTCTCTGCACTGCACCAGGCACCGGGCCCACCCCAACCCACTCCACCCCACCCAAGGAGCTCAGACTGGGATACAAGACCAAACCAGGTGATGTCCTCTATTGGAGCCATGTGCATCACGGTGGCTGCAAACTCCCAATGCTCAAGGGTGCAACCTATGGCAACTCTGTCCATCATGGTGTTAAGAGCTGAAACTTGTGCCTGTTGTGGAGGAGCAAGCTAGACCCCACGGTGGGGCCCTAAGAGTCCTGAATTCTTACTGGGTTGGTGAAGATTCCACAAATAATTTTTTTGAAGTTACTCTCATTGATCGGTTCCATAAAGCTATCAGAAGCTCAGGGGGATCACCAGCACAGGAGATACCCGGGCTGATGTCTGCAGGTCTCAGAAAGGGTCACCAATTCCACCACATTCTCAGTGGTTCTCGCTGCTCCGCTTGGAGAAGGTACCACCCTCTCCAGACCTGCCGTTATCACTGATATCAGTGATGGTTGCGAAACTCATGACTAATAAACCATTTAGGACAGTTATGTCCACTTAAAACTGTCCTTTGTTGCAAAGGTAGTGATCAGATTGTTTCATGAAACCGCAATACTGTTTGAGGGGAAAACAGTTCTTTTCCCAGGCTGTCGTTTTAATGGAAGTAGACGGTCACGTCTCTCCTGTGAGCAGCGGGTAGGTTCAAACCACTGACCTTCCCGTCAGCTTCGGCCACTGTGCCACCAGACTCCATCTCGGTTGTAGACTCACGGGCACGGAGTCGATTCTGACTCCATGGGTTTCTGAGGCGGTCCTTTAAAAAAAATTTTTTTTTAATTTAAAGAGAACTTTGTTAAGTCTTCAATGTGACAAAGGCAAGGTAACTGCAGAGACAGATCATCTGGAGGAGGAGCCTATTAGTCTGGGTCACAATGGCGCCCAAGGGTTTGATGAGACACGGGGCCTTGAAAAGGGCATGGGATATCAAAGGAAACTCACAAAAACATGGTTGGCCGCAGATCAATACATCTTTGTTACCGGTTGAACTCCCAAAGCGGGATTAAGGGTCATGATTGGGACACAAACATGGCGCTAGGCAGAGAAGCTTACAATATTGGTCCAGGAGCTTCCAGGCATGACTCCCTGTCGGCTGAGCTCCATCAAGGGCACATCCAGCTCAATCCCTAAGGAAGACTGTCTTCCCCGGGCTGGTGGAGGGTGTGAAGCTATAATACATTTTAACTGGTGCAGGGAGCCTCATCTTTGTCCCCTGGAGCCCTTTGTGGGCTTGATACTTGCTTTGCAGCTAACAGTCCAATGCTCACCCCGCAGTGCCTCCAGGCCTCCTTCTGTGTTGCTAAGTCCTGGTTATTTCCTATCTCTGTTAGGCCCAGCTGAAAGTCATCCTTGGCCAGGTCTCATGACTGATATCAACAAGCACCCTCACGTGAACCCTCTGAGGGAGCTACTATGGGGACACCATCCCAAGCCGGCCTTTCAAGATGGAAAAGGCACTCAACTACCTTCCTCGAGGTATTTCATAGTAAGGTTGCTGTCAGCGTGCCCCCGTCGCCCCCAAATGTGTTGTAAACCCGACTCACAACCGTGCATGTAATCTCATTGGGAATACGATTTTGTTGTTTTTGTTGTGAATGAGGCCATATTATTGTGGGGTATGTTTTAAGCCAATTCATTACCTTTGAGATATAGAAAGAGCAGATTAAATCCATACAGTAATGGATTAATAGTTTCTTGGGGGTCTGGCAGGGGAGGTTGGGGGGAAATGAGGAGCTAACAGCAAAGAGGGCAAGAAAGGAGAGAATGTTCTAAAATGGACTGTGGTGGTGACTGCGTGGCTCTTTCCTGCGCTCATTGAATTGTCTGCTGTGGTGTAGCTAGGGATTATGTCAGCGGGACACTCCTGCCTGGGGGAGTCAAACGTGTCAGTGGTCAACCTGCCGACACCTCCTTGGTGTCAGAAGCCTTTTGTGTCAGAGCAAGACGTACAGAGACGCTCTCTCTGCCCCTCCACCTTCCTGCCTGCCTCAAAGGGTGGTCCCATGTGGGCTGCACAACCCTGAAGAGCTGCCAGGGCCCGCCTGAGTTCCTGCTGACCATGGATCCATCAACCTCCGCACCCGCCAGCCTGTGATCTTCTTGCTTCCCCATCCCCAATCTGCATCACCAGCATGTGGCTACGTGAGTCCAGTGAGGGATGTATGGACGAGCATAGGACTTATGGATGTGGGCTGGACTGGGGTGCCTTCTTGATATATAAATACTTCTTAATATAAAGCTCTTTCTCATCTAGAGGAACGTTCCTGGATTTGTTCCTCTAGACAACACAGCCTAACAGAGAGGATAGGGGAATTATATGCCACTAAAACTGTTAACATTTTCAAAAGTAGATTAGGCAAGAGGGGAAAATACCTGCGCTGTGAAGTTGGACAAGGAAATAGGAATAGAAACTGCCAAGAGACAAGGACCTTCCTTGAGAAAGAACCGAGAGAAATAGGAAGCCTTCTCGTAGAGCCGGCTTTGGCCGTGAGGACTTACAGCTCCCTAAACTCCGAGAAGAGAAATCTGTTTGTCCAGCCGGCCACTTGTGTTCTTTCTGTTCAACAGCATGAAGAAACCAAGACAAGTTGCCGGGAGAGAAACCTACCACTAAGCGACAAGGACAAACCTTCATGAAGACCCTCAGGCAGGGCCCGTCTTTGAATACATTTTCGTTTGAGAGGGTTTGATAGGAAACAGACCGCCAAGCAGGCCTGCCTGGATTCTCGTTCTCTCGCTGACAGGCCCTTGCTTAGCCTTGAGCTGGGCTCTTCCTCTGTGAAGAACGATGGAGTTGACTCCCTAGGTTTCTGTCTCACACCGAAATTCTTGTCCATCTTTTTAAAACCTTGTTGGGTAGACAAAAAATCCGTATCCAGTGCTTACTGCAGTGCCTGGCATGTGACCAGGTGCTCCAGCAACATGGGCTTACAGAGAACGGTACTGTTTCCAAGGTACCTGCCCCGGAGGGATGCTCAGTCAACCCTTGCCGAGTTCCCTTGGGGTGCTTTCTGGTCCCGAGAGCCCCCGCTCGCCCGGCGTCTCGTAGACACACTAGTATCAGCAAGAGAACCCAAGGAAAGGAGTGAGGTTTCACACAACAGAGACCCATGGGAGGGAAAGAAAAACTTAAAGAAACCAGCAGCTGAGGAGGAAATACACTATTTATTTACAATTCTTTCACTTTAGCCACAATTTCCCATACAAACGTAAAAACTAAAAAAATAAAACCACCACTTGGGGACACAAGTGTCTTTCTTTAAGTAGTCCAGTCGCGAGAGGGTGACAAGCCCTCTCCCGCAGTGAAGGAAACGGCTGAGGCACACCGAGGGGGAAGGGAGGAAGAATGCCTGAGAAAGAGCTCCAGATGAGAGGTGCCACACACACTGGTAGGGTGGGGCGTCGCTGGCCATGAGGCTCACGGGTCACCCCCTGGGGACTCTGCTCGGCTTTCCAAGAGGAGGACAGCTGCTTGCCACCGTCCCCCACACCCTCCAACTGCCAGCCCCCGAGAATCACACGGAAGTCACCGGTCTCATGAGCTGCAGTGTGCAGTGTGATGGTGACCGTGGGGGACACAGAAGGCCTGTCTCTGAGAAGACCCCCCAAACCAAGGGAGGCACAGGAGACCCGCTTTCCTTGGCACAGGCTGCCCAGTTACAGCTTCTGCCCTAAGTGACCGTTACAAACAAAAGCCGCCTCCAGACTCCAGGAAAGGGCAGAGGGGAAAATCATGCTGGGAGGGAGGCTCCCGGGGCCGAGGGTACAGAGCCAGTCTGGTCCTCTCACTCTTTTCCGCTCGAGAGGGAAGGGAGCAGGGCAGATGCTCAGAAAGGCCCAGGGAGGAGTGGCGCGAGATGGGGACTCGGAGAGACAGATGGTTGGACGGCTGCCACTGGTCTGAAGAGTCGCTCCGTCTGCTTGGCCGCACGACTCCAGCAGACCCCCTCACAGGAGGGCGCCCCATGCCCCGAAGCAACCTGGAGTCGCTGCAGCTGCTAGGCTGGCGACGTCATCTGTGCTCGTGACCTAGATTGCTTTCACATGTTAATGCACATTATAAATATAAAATCATATCTGCTACAAAGAGGACATATACCTGTACATCTTTACTCATCTACATAATAACACAATTGACACATAATATCTTGGAGTGGGTCATCATTGGAGAAGGGTTTGGCCAGGTAAAAAGGCCCTCCTCCCTCCCCTGCCCTGATCCTTCTCAGGGGGTGCTGGGGCACCTGGTTGTGGGGTGCTTCCCGGATGGTTTTGGTGGGGCTAGTCTGGACACAGAAACTCAGACACCTATCGAGATGCTGACAGGCATGTATGTGCATACAGACACACGTGTGAGTGCAAGCACACACACACACACAGACATCTGGTGAGAAACAAAAAAATAAAATAATAACCCCTAGCCCTTGGGTGTAGGCCTCTTCCCAGAGTTATAAGCATTGGTACCTCCTCCATCTGAGAGCCATGCTTTTGAAGAGCTGCCCCTCACTGGCTCAGTCTGGGCAGAAAGGGATTGGCTAGGAAATCAGGGGCAGAGGTCAGGGGCCAGGAGTCTTTTCCATAAGGCGTTTTTTGACCTGCGAGCAAACAAACGATGTCACAGAGAACAATGGTACCGGTTGGGGCGGAGGGGGGAGAGCCTGTTGAGATCCGGAGCCTCCCCCTTCTTTTGTCCAGTTGCTTTTAGAGGGGCAGACGGCCCTGTCCCTCCATTTCCGTCCTCTCCCAGAGCTGGGCCATCCACGTGGCATGGAATACTGACAGCGGTCCGAGAGACATATCCAGAAGGTGAGACCTGGGCGGCGGGGCAGCTCTGTACAGCGGGAGTGTGCTTCCTGGCCGGGTCCACGGCTCGCCCAGTGGCCACAGTGATTGGATCTGCCATCAGAGATGGGGGCAGTCTGGGTCCGAGAGGGGGCCAGCACCTATCGGCGGTAGTGATTGGGTGCGTCGGCGAACATGTACTTGAGTCTGTAGGCCTCGGCGAGCAGCAGCCCGATCTCCTCGTTGCCCCAGTGTATCGTGGGTAGGTTCTGGAGCAGCATGAGGAGGCCCTAAAAAACAAGGAAGGTCTCGTTTTATTTTTTTTCCTCCCCACATTAACAGTAATTTATTATGGATTCTTACAGCACCAGTAGTGGCCCCGCATTGCATTTGTCTATTCAACAGCGTTATATCTCACACACAGTCTTGCCTAGGCGGTCTTAAATTGTAAACATTGGTCACACATCATCCTAATTAGTAGGCTTTTAGACAGGGAGTAACCACATAAACATATATGAGTATGTTTTCAAACCATTTTATTAGACACAATCCAGACTTTGATCGTCCCCAAACTACGGGCTGTGGGGCCAGCGGGCCTGTTCTCAGAGACCTCGGCCTAGGATGGGGCCTTCCTCCCGAACCACACATCCCAAAGGCCTCCCGCCTCCCCCTCGGCACACAGCCCTCGGCCCCGTCACCTTCGGGAAGCCTTGAAATGCCCCTTCCCTTTCTCCCATCCTCTAACACCTGCCTCTTAAACAGTATTGCAAACAGAGCAGCAACAATAAATACAGCTCTTTAAAAGAGAAAAATAATCACTCATCATCCAAATGCATCGCTAATTTAAAATATTCCGTTTCACTCTCCCCTCCCCCACATGCATATTTCTTTAAAAAGTTGTCATCATTAGGATTTTCTATGCTTTTTAATTATCTTTTTCCCCCTTTACTCTAATTTTCACATTTTTCCCACATAGCCTTCAGAAATGGTAATTCTCAATGTTAATATTCCATCATGTGTTGATGCTCCAATTTACCTATTTCCCTTGGGTTAGAGACTAATTTTCTGCTGCTGTTTTTTTTTTTTTAAACCTTTATTGGTAAGACAGCACTAATTATCGTTTTTGCCTTTGAATTTCTTCCCTCTGATCCTGATCTTCTCTGGTAGCCTCTGTCCTTTTATCTGGGCTTCTTCCCACTGTTCCCAACACACCTGGCCTATCCAGGCAGGCCCCTTGTCACCTGTTGACCTATGCCTCCAGGGTTTAGAGTGGGCTGTTCCCTTTTGCCTAAAATACCTTCTCTTTCCCACTCCATCTATCTAAGGTCTACTCAGCTCCCCATGCCCAAGTCCCCGGACTCGGGGTCTGTTCCCTCAGACAGTTCCTGAGCGGCTGCTGGAGATGGAAGCGAATGTGAGATCTGAGACGATCTCTGTCACGGAGCCACTCGTTCTGCTGCTTCCTCTTCTCCCTCTAAACTGGATTTCCGCTGGATTACAAAAAGAAGCCATTCAGAGACGGACAGGAGTGATTACATATGATTTCGAGGCCTCGGGCTGGTGTGTGTGTGTGTGTGTGTGTGTGTGTGTAAAAAAGAAAAGAAAGGGAATGTGAGACAAGAGTTTTTA